GAAGCTTGTCTACGCCATAGCTCCAAAAGATGTGTGGTGTGTGTGTGTGTGTGTGTGTGTGCGTGTAGAAGAAAAGGTCGCAAAAGTCATGGCAAGGGTGGCAGTGGAATATGGGAATCCTCTTCCATTCCTGAGCATATTTAAGCGATGCCGTTTCAAAAATCTACAAAACATGCTCTGGGTTTCCACCCACCCACTTACCCTCAGTAACCTGTTCCTCTTTACTGGAAACACACAAAACCAAAATGTCTATCAGTGCAAGATGAACAAACCCTGAATAGCCTTGTAGTTTACCCCAGCCCAGACCATATAGAGTCCAGAGGCTGAGTTCACACAACACACCAAATCCCAAACCCATGTTACTAAACCACAGTTGCTGGATTCACATAAGATGTTAGGTGACTCACTCGTGCCCCCCGCCCCCCATGGCTTAACATAAGAGCCAGTTGCAATGGCAGAAGTTGGAATCCCAGAAGAAAATAAGCCACACATTTTCCATGCCCGTTTTAGCTTGCTCAAAGTTATTGTGTGAACTCAGCATTGGGGGCCTTTTTGTTTAAAGGCATAAATCTGTACCAAGGAAGCATTCCTAATTTAAGCAGGAAGGACCAAAGGGCCTCTTACCTCAACTGCGACACTAGAGGAAGGCACCGGTGTATACTGGGGGATATAGGCTCCTTGCATAGCTGCTGCCGCTGGCATATACTGGCAAGAAGGAGAGAAAACATCAAGAGGCCGCAGCAGGGCTGGGTCTCAAGGCCCACCAAAAAGAGGGAAGGAGAAAAAAAGGTCCTTACTGTGCCAGCACTGCTGAGGGACAGATGGCCCAGCTGTTGGGTGAGAGGCCCCATCATGGAAGTGGGCTGGATGGAAATGGCGTGGTCCATGGCAGGTGTGAGCACCGTCCCCTGCTTGGGAACAAAATACGAACTGAGTAAAAGAGGGCACCGTTAACGAGGCCAAATGGAAAGTAATGGAAGGGAGGAGTGTATAAACATCCTAAGAACAATGTGCATTACAACAGATTCGGGTAGGAAAGCATTGCATTTCCCCAAAACTTCAAATCGGGGGATAATTAGAAAAGGTGGGACAAGCTGACCACACAGCACTTCGAATTAAAAGCAAAAAAGGTTTTCCCACTGAGTAGTAAAGTATATTAGTTGTCATTTTAATACAGATGAAATGTAAGTGTTTTTTACCCTCCTGGCCCAGGAAGACAAGCAAAACGAAACAAAAAAAAACCAAAACAATCACACAATTTAATCATTTTCCCTGTTATTTGGACTAGAAAGGGAGAAAGCCCAAGCTCTTGCAAGTTTCAAAAGAAAAAAAAACCACAACCGAGTCCAACTTTCACTGTTCCATCTGAATTCATAACTAAAGAAACTAATCAGCACTGTGAGAAGTTTTGCAACATTTTCCTTAATGGAGGATTCCAGGTAAGTAGGTAGTAGGTAGGTAGGTAGTAGGTAGGAAAGTAGGTAGTAGGCAGGCAGGCAGAAATAGCTCTCACCGTGGGCTGCATGAGGTATGACTGATGGTGCATCCAAGATGGACTGTGGACCTAGAATAAGACAGCCTGTTTTATACATGGTCTCTTAGCAAAACAGTCCTAAAAAATAGATTGAGTTATTCATCCCCCTGTCATGAAAGAGGCTGAGAAACAATATCCGAGTAATTCGCATAAGATTTCAACCGAGGACTTCTGGTAAACAGCTCACACCCTGTTAGATTTTTCTGCTTAATAGCAATAGCACTTAGACTTCTATACCGCTTGACAGGGCTTTACAGCCCTCTCTAAGCGGTTTTAGAGTCCTCCTAATGCCCCCAACAATCTGGGTCCTCGTTTTACCGATCTCGGAAGGGTGGAAGGCTGAGTCAACCTTGAGCCTGGTGAGAAATTGCAGGCAGCCAGCAGAAGTAGCCTGCAGTACTGCATTCTAACCACTGCAGCTCTGTAAACCATTTTTTTTTATTTAGACGAGGTAACTTCTGCTACCTGAATAGAAGATACAACAGGAAAATCAACCAGAATTACCTTCCCTTTGTTCTAAAAAAATCAGACATATGTTCTCATTTTTTTTTTCCTACTGGAGAAACACAAGGGGACAAATGCATCAGCCCTTGCCATGTTGGCTTGCTCCTACATAACATTGTCACATCACTTCTTGCCATTTCTGACTCACTATTAGTGCCCCAAGCCATGTTAATCATGGAATCTTGTTATTGTACGTGACCGATACATCAGTCTGTGAAGTCCTCTGCAGGAAAGGAAAGAAAGGTTGCCTCCTTCTCCTCCCCATTCTTAGTTTATAGCTGTTTCCAAGCTTTCGTCTCTTGTAGTGACTCAGGTCCCAGTTTGTCTTCTCCAGTATTAGCTGCTAAAGTAACACACCTGGTAAGAGGAAACAGGTGATGGGAGATAAGGGGAGAGCGCAGTCTGGGCAATCATCCTGTTCGGGGCCAGGCTGTAGGGCGTTGTATAGAACCTGCAAAGGAAATAGGAGTCGCCTGTTAGAAGTCTTCCAAAAACGGTAGACCTCTCTTCCCAGTGGTTGCCAGTTTCATTCTGCCAGGCCCCATTTTCCTATCATTTCTAATGAAAATATTACTGTACCAATAAAAAGGTGAAAGCACAAGAAAGACGTACCCGTTTTGTAACGCTGTTGTAGGGTCATAAGTCAATGTCATTCCACCCTGCAGGAAACAACAGTTAATTCACATATGGTTCAAGCCTTTTCCTCTTCCCCAGTGCACCAGGTTCTCAGCCCAGTGAAGCAAGAGTGACGATATCACCTTTCCAGGAACAAGTCACAAGCCTTATCCAGGCCAGCAGAAAACCTGTTCTCTCAACCAGCTTCGCAGCCTGTCAGTACAGCCGGTCAAGCTGTTAAGAGAACATTCTTCCTGTCTCTTAAGCTTAGCCTGCACATCTTGTGGCCAGTTCACAAAATCCAAAGGGAAGGATGGCAAACCAGTTTGCTTAGCACGTCCCATGCCAGGGATGAAGCTGTAGACTTCCCGTGAGGAAATAGCACACTGACCTATCACGGAGCAGTGGGAGAGATTACGGCTGAAAATGGTAGCGGGATGTGGGACCCAGACAGGGAAAATCTCTCCAGAGAAAGGAGAGACATTTGAGATTACTCATATGTATTCCGGACAGCTACTTTTTGTGAGTGTATGGTAGAAACCAGGGATTTTGACGCTGCTTGCTATCAGTCGTAGGATTAAAGATAGTCCTCGAATTATAAACACAATGGAGCCCAACGTTTCTGTTGCTAAGTGAGACAGCTGGGAAGTGAGTTGTGCCCCATTTTATGACCTTTCTTGCCTTAGTTGTTAAGTGAATTGCTGCAGTTGTTAAGTTAGTTACCCGGCTGTAAAACGAATCTGGCTTCCCCAGGGGCTTTGCTTGTCAGAAAGTCGCAAAAGGGGATCGTGGGACGCTACAACCATCATAAATATGAGCCAATTCCCAATTTTGATCATATGTGCTACAGTGATCGTTGGTACGAGAAACAGTTGTAAGTCACTTGTTTGAGGGCTTTTGTCACTTTGAACTAAATTAACTTAGCCATTAAAGCCAGCTGGGTGACTTTGGGCCAGTCATTTTCTCTCAATCCACACCCCCAGATTTGTTATTGGGGAAAATAGGAGGAGGAAGGAGTGTTGGATATCTTTGCAGCCTTGTAAAAATAATAAAGGCGGGATACAAATAAATAAATAAATAAATATTTGAAGATTTGAGATGGGGAGATTTGTCTAAAGAAAGTTAGGAATAAATGTGAAAACAACATTCAAAATGGGGTTTTTGAACATGCTTTGCAATAGTTATGTTGCATCACTTGAGACTTTCATGAAGAGATTGGACTGCCATTTGTCAGAAATGGTGTAGGGTCTCCTGCTTCGGTGGGGGTTGGACTAGATGGCTTACCAGGTCCCTTCCAACTCTGTTAATCTAATCCTAATCTATTTCTTAAGCCTTAATGGACTTTTGCTGATGAAGATGATGAGGTTTTAAAGTTTTGTGGATAGAGAGTGGGGTGGGATATGGAATGGAGAAATGATCGGTTGTATTTTAAGAGAGAGTAAAAAGTTGTGAATGTTAACTATACTTGCTGGGCTTTTTTAAAAAAAATCTATTGTAGTTTTTATTAGTTTTATTTATACAATACAATTCTGAATAAAAATTATTGCGAAAAAAGGAAGTTCCATGCTAGGAGCAAAGGTGTCATATAAACTTTTTATCAAGTTCTCTCGTTCTTCTCGTTTTTATCCAGTTCTCCCCACTCCTTACCGCATCACTTTCCCTTGGCCAGGCTCGTCCATTTTGCACATATTTGCCCTGATTCTGGCGCTTCTTCTGGCCACCATCAGCAAACTTGCAAAGCAGTGGATCTGGAGGAGCTGCAGGGGGGGGAAAAAAAGCTGAGTTTAGCCTTGGGACATTTTGTTGTAACATATCTAGACGCTCCTACCAGTAGTATGAATGATATTCCTAGGTCTCAGTATTCCCTCAATGCACTTGAATCTAAATTTAAATCTTCTCTTCACAGCTGACTGGATACATTGAATTCCACTCCACACACTGTCCCATCTGTGATGTACTCCTTAACAGGATGCTGCTTTGCTTTGTAACAATAACCGATGTATCAACCTGAAGATCCAAAAGGGACGGCCAGGGCTGATCACATTGGACACGGAGCTGCTTATCCTCTCTTCTTCTCAGTGACTTCATCCTACCTCTGAATCACAGATGATACCCTTCCTTTCTTTCTTTCTTTCTTTCTTTCTTTCTTTCTTTCTTTCTTTCTTTCTTTCTTTCTTTCTTTCTTTCTTTCTTTCTTTCTTTCTCTCTTCCTCTTTCTTTCTTTCTTTCTCTCTCTTTCTTTCCTTCCTTCCTTTTTCTGTCTTTCTTTTCTTTTCTTTCTTTCTTTCTTTCTCCCTTCATGGCTATAAAAAAGAGAATGAAACCTTCTGCAAATTGTTCAGGATCCAGCCGTGCCGAGGGGAAGCCAGATGAGCTAGCCAGCATCAATTCTGTGACTTTTATGAGACCATCTGCGGACTTTTATTTTAACATCAGTGCTAGGCCCATTAGCATTTTGTAGGGAATGCTACAGCCTCCATCCACAGTATGTGTGTGTGTGTCTGTGTGTGGCCTAGGCAGCTTTCCATGTAAAGACTTGCAGACTTCGGTGTCATGCTACTGTTTTCCTTGAACTCTTGTGGTTAACCTTCCTTTTTGTTGCCAAGCAACTACTCTCTTCTCCCTCAACTAGGAGAGTGTACAGAGCTACGTAGCATTCTGAATTACTACCACATGAGTAGCACTTATGTACAAAAGGATACTTCTGCTTCCCTCCACTGTGCCCTCGGCCAACAAGTCAGAAGGGCCAGCTGATACATGCCCTAAAACCAAGGAGCCACTATTCTGTGAGTTATGAGGGGAAGGGGGAGGGCACCAGATATGGCCACTTTGGAAAAGCAGATTAAAATAGCTTGTCGAAAAGGAGGCATAAAATAGTTGGGGCAACTTTTTATGGGTCTGGCCCAAATCATATATATGCTTCCTGTGAAGTGGAGTGGCTGTGCTCCCTCTCCCCAAATGTAGCTGTGTTATGCAGCCTAGTTTTATCGCAGCTTGCACTGGAGAGTCTGTAGCTGTAGCCACTGCAGCATCGGATGTGACTTGATCAAGCACTTCTCTGACACAAAGACTGTTTAGGTGATTAGGGGATAGTCATCTCCTCTCAGCATAATCCACCTTTATTGTTGTGGGAATTAAATTAAGGTCAGTCTCCATGTAAGCTACTGGAGTGTTCAGACAAAATTGGGGACATAAATGCAATGAAAAACAACAACCTCCTCACCACCAAAGGAGCAACCTATAAAAGGCAGCTAAGGAAAACCAGCGGAAGACAACACAATATTGCATTTATCGGACATGATCAATTGATCACAGCCTGGAAATGGCAAGAAACCTTTAATTCTTTTGGTAGATCCCCATCTTATTAGAGATGTGATGAGCTGGACACAAATAAGGAAATAAAAATGTCCCTCTTATAGATACCTCTATTGGGAGTGACGTCTAACTACTCCACAAGAACCACGCTGTGAAAATGTTACTCCATGGAAAAAATATGATTCCTTAACTCTGCTGCACGTAGGAAATGGCTCCAAATCTTCCCCCACACATTCCTGCTATTCTAACTTGTTTATCTGCTTACTCCAATCCTGTCTCTTCCTGGTTGGAGCGTTTTACCCCTCCTCTCCTGGCCACAATTTGAGCACTGGGTCAGTTTTAGATTATTTAAATAATACTTCACAGGAAGAGGCAGCAGCCAAAATAATTTTAGCAGACCCATTTGATCAGAAGAGCCCTTCTGAGCCAATTCCCTCCTTTCTGTGTTTACTAAACAGCCTTTCTCCCTGACTCTTCTCATTAGGCTGGTAAAATGTTCTTTTCCAGTAGCTCTCAGTTCCTTCCCCGTCTCACCGTCAGCAATTCATGGACCCTTTTCAACCAGGTTACATACAACGACACGGTTTTATGCATTATAAATGGAGAACCATCTAGCTCCAGTTTCAGCACTGTAGCTTCTTTCTGCTGCACTTGAAACCCTGACCATTCAGCCACACTGCCCTCTTCTGAAGTTACCTCCAAAGAACTTGCTCATACTGCATTGCAATGGTTTTACTCCTGCTTATCTCAGGACACTTTTTCTGTGATGTGGAACGGTGCCATATTCTAGCTTTTTCATTTGTAAGTGGGGGCTCCAAGGGTTTCTTTAATTAACTTTGTCCACTGCTCTTTTGGCTTCATTGATTTCTTCTAATCAGTTTCACTATGATAGATAAATGATAGATAGATAGATATAGATGGATAGATAGATAGAAAGATAGATAGATAGATAGATAGATAGATAGATAGATAGATAGATTGATTGATTTAGGCATGCATAAGTGCACCATCGTGCCTCCCGTCCCTGTCCTATTGTCCCCATTTAATTGTCCCCATTTCCTGTATTCTTACTCATGTTTATACTTATACCTATTATCTTGTAAGCAATTGACAAATTAAGTAAAATAAAAATAAATAGGTAGGTAGGTAGGTGAATGGATGGATGGATGAACGGATAGACAAAGAGAGACAGAGACAACACAGAAATGTACTTTTGAGTGAGGCAGCCATCTTTCCAAATATTTTGATGGATGTTGATGTTGGGCTGGATGGATTCCCTTCATCTCAAACTAAATGTGAAAACTATTGTATCTCACCCCTTCTCTCTCTGTCTGGTTTTAGGCAGCCAGTTGCCACCAGTGAGTCCAACTCAATGATCCATTTTCATTGGGGGCGGTGGAGGGGGGAAACTTCACTGATAATTTTATTCTGGGGAAAATAATAGGCTGGACATATGTGCATCACCTTGAATTGACCAAATTTTTAAAAAGGCAGGATAAAAATCTAAAAACAACCGATTCACTACAATATCTGTAAAAATGACCATGTACCAATAATGAAACATTGGTGGGAACATAAAGCTGAAAAAGTAGTTGAAATGAGGAAGGTTAAAATATTGTGAGATTTCTGAATACAAACTGACAATTTAGCTATGGTTGAAAAGAAGAAAATGTGGCTAACTGATGTGATAATAGCAAGGGACAGTAGAACAGAAGACAAAGAATTGGAGAGGTAGAATAGAAAACAAAAAACTGGAGAATATTACAAATTATCAAGAATTAATAATCAAAACTGAATGAATGTGGCTTAAAGAGGCCCTGTTGTGTCCCAGTGGTTATTGGCATACTGGGTACCACCCCAAAAAATCTTGGATGGAACTTAAAAACCTGCACTTAACACACAAAATTTCCACCTGTCATTTGAAAAAGATCACTGTTTGAATCCACGCATACACTTCACTGATACAGTATGACTTCCTAGGTTCTTGGGAAAAACTCTGTGTGTATGAAGGCTAACACCATTTTTTTTAAAAAAACGGCAGCTGTGACTTCCCATTGTTGTGAACAGGTAATAATAAAAAACTTGGAGCTTGCATTTAAAGAATATTAATTGGCTTTATCAGTTCCTCCTCACAGCAAAGCAATTGCTTAGTGCCCCGATCATCCCTTAGCTGGATTATTGCAACAATGTCTTAGCAGGTAACCTAACATTTTTATTTATCTGATGATTTGGATCTAGAACAGTACAGTGTGTGCTATTCTGTACCTTCCTGAAGGAAGGGTACAGGAAGGATTAACCTGAATTAATCCTGGGGGCTCCCAAGTGGCTAAGTATTTATGAGAGGTACCAACTCTAATTGCTAGCTAACTCACTGGGTCTTGCATTTTGGCTATCAGGTCTTCACAGGCAGAGCTACTTAACTGGAAAAACTGATGGTAGTTCCTCTCCATGATCTGAACATTTAGCTATGGGTGAGTGTACCACCTCATACTAAAATGGTGACATCAGATTTGAGAATTTTTTCACATCTTAATGCCAGCCCTCTAGATGAACTATGTTATGCCGAGAAGTCTAATTTGTCAGCGTTTTAAACAATGCTAAAATCTTTCTTTCTTTCTTTTTAATGGGATTTTTGTCAAGCTGGTTTAAATATTAATTATTTGGGCAAAAATGCTTTGTTGTTTAGATCTAACTTCAAATGCCTATTTTAACAGTTACAGGCCATTCAAGTTACTGGAGTCTGTATAAAGTAGTTGTGACCTTAATTGCCAGATAGGGAGCTACCGTACTAACGCCTCAACATTGTTATATTATTTTATATGATGCCCTTTTTACAGGTGCAAGAAAAACGTGGCTGTTCTTGCTGCTGCTGCTGCTGCTTCTACTAAACCTTTGCTCCTCTGGGAAGGAACCAATTCACCCGCACCCTTATAGCATTTCCTCACCTGGGACCCCAGGAGGTGTCTTGATATATTTGCCATTGAAGTGGGTGATGATGGCTTCACACTTTTCTGTAGACTCCATCCTGGAGAAGCAATGAAAGAAAATGTCCATGATGGAGAAAATGCCAAATGTTTCTTACTCAGAAATAAGTAGGGAGAAGAACGTGCTCCGTAACAAATGTCTCTCAGGCAACACAGCCACAACAAGAGATGACTGGGCAAGTTCAGCAAGGCATCTAGACCCCGTGCTCCTAATCGATGGGACGTGCAGCTCAAAATAGAGTAGATGTGAGAGTCACCGACTCATAATTCCTATGGAGAGATTCATCAGTTTATATACTTTGCTGGACTGAAAAACAGCTCCAGGTCAACTCCAATTCATGTCAACTTTCATCTTCAACTTGTCCAGATTGAGAATAAGTGCTTTAAATGGCACTGCTTCCATTTAAAGCAGCGTTTCCCAATCTTAGCAACTTTTAAGATGAGTGGACTTCAATTCCCAGAATTCCCCAGCCATCAAGTTGGTTGGGGAAAGCTGGTAGTTGAAACCTACACACCGACAACAAAGTTGCTGAGGTTGAGAAACACTGATTTAGGAGCGGTGGTGGCGCAGTACTGAGGTTAGAGTGCAGTACTGCAGGCTACTTCGGCTAACTGCCAGCTGCCTGCAATTTGGCAGTTCGAATCTCACCAGGCTCAAGATTGACTCAGCCTTCTATCCTTCTGAGGTTGGGTAAAATGAGAACCCAGATTGTTGGGGGCAATAGGCTGACTCTGTAAACTGTTCAGAGTGGCCTGTAAAGCACTGTGAAGCGGTATATAAGTCTAAGTGCTATTGCTATTTAGAGGACTTTGTAGAGAGGAAGGGACAGGGGCATTGGGGTGAATACTTGAGGGAGAACCCTGTAATTAGAAATCCAGGTACTTAACTTTCTGTTATGCTCAGAGACTTGTGATGAGCATCAATATTTGGAAAACTTAAATAGGAATTAACAGCCCGTGTGACTCTCCTAGAATCTCCTAATCAAGATTCATCAAAGCCAACAAATCAAGCTTGGAAAATCTATGAGACAGCCCGTTCCTAAGCTATAATTCCTTGGGGACATGACCAAAAATGAATCCAAGCATGCAAAATCTAACATCAGAATTAACCTGGACTTGCAACTGGTTTTGAAATGGAGCTGATTCCCAACCACTAGCAGGGTATGAATTTATGACTCCCAAGTAGTTCCAATATTTCAAGGAGCTTTCAAAATGCTGGCCTGTGTTTCTACGTGGCTCTGCTATAATGATTAAACACGTCATTTGCTTGTTATCCCTTTTGGTGTTCCAATGCTACATCCAAGGACTCAGGAAAAATATTTTGGAGCTGTAGCATTTGATAGAAAGCGGAGGCGGAGCAAAGCAGCTTTGACGGAGAGAGAAGTAAGCGTTTTAGTTTCTCTCTTCCCTTGATGAGGACCAACCTCATCCATTACAACCAGCTGTTGGAAACAGGAATACATAATTAACCAACCGTCCGTTGCTAATACTACCTAACAGTCCAGCTTTGCTTCTTCAGGTATGAAGGAAATAAATATGGAGGAGTCAGGAACTGTCTGCTGCAATGTGACAATCTGCCAGTAGGGGGCAATGTAGGACAGAAGAGAATGGCCAAGCCAAGTCAGGAAAGGGAGAACCTAGAACAAAACTGCCCACCCAGGTGGATGCCTGAGCAGCAAAGGAGCACCTTGGGTGTACAAACCTATGCCTAAACGTAATTCTACACTACAGTCAGACAAATCTTTAGCAGTGATCTTGGGTTAGGAATCAAATGCATTTAGCGGTTAGTTTCTTCCTTCTTAGCAACAATGCTCAACAACGTTGTGAATCAGGAAACTTTAGGATCAATGGTGCTTCTGTCTTGTTCAGCATTCCTGTTCCATATCAAGCCATTTCTAAATCTCTAATTTTCTGCTACCAGTTTTTCTTCCCTCCCTTCTCAAGCAATTGACTAAACATTTTGCTGCTACCAGTGGTAGGATTCTAACGGTTTGGGCCGGTTTGGGCAAACCGGTAGTAAAAAAACAGCTACTGGTATTTCTTTTTTTTCCTCCTGACGATCAGCTGTTGTCTTATTGCTTTACCCAGGAGACTTCCCCGAGGCACAAGAAGCCAAAAAAACCAAAACAAAACAAAGTGCAGGGGGGGGCGGATCCTGCATGAAAAGAAGCCACACCCACCCAGTCACATGACCATGCCCACCTAGCCACGCCCACCTAGCCACGTCCACAGAACTGGTAGTAAAACTATTTGCATCCCACCCCTGGCTTCTACCTAAGGCTAAACTCAAGACTGAACAGCAGTTGGGTCACATGGGAAAAGTGAATGAGGTAGCCTAGGGCTTTATAGTCCACATCAAAACACCTGGCCCACAAGTCAACCACATGTTGTAAGGCTTTAGGACAGACGCAGTGCCCACTGAAGTCCAGCTTTTTCTGTCTGCCAATCAAACATGGAAAGGAATCGTTTTGAGTGTCCATGCTCTACCGTCTTTTCCTGCAGCCTATCTGAATCTTTTAGGAACATTTGGTGATATAGTAATGGCACGTTCAGGGAACAAGAAACGGGGAGACACCCCTGGGTAATAAACCCAACATACAGTCAGCTAAAATAACATGGTTTCCGAGACATGTATACAAACTTGCATAGAAATGCCAAGTGTCCATATCTAGTCCCAGTGAACCAACTCAGAAGAAGAGCGTAGCTACAGCTATCCCAACCCTAAAACTTAGGGGGATAGGGCATGGAAGAGTAAAAAGGCAAATGCCCATCACCACCTTGAACCAAGAGGGGAATATTTGCAAATGCTCAGCATATTTGCACATGCTCCATGCATAAGGGAATATTTAGCCCAGCAAATCTCTGTGCGGGTATTCCTACAGAAAACCATCCTTGGGGCAGAGGAATGTTTCGAGGTGCTCCCTCCCATACAGGATGTGACTGGATCACATTTCTGAGGGGTTCCCCAAGTGAACATAGGCTATGCCGGTTTTGTCTTTTTAAGCCAGCACTGCTGTGTATGGAGCTGAAGACATGTACCATTAAACCAAACCACCCCCCCAACCCTGTCCCAGCCATCCGGCCTGACCTGGCAAAGCCAACTCCTCGGCTGGTGCCGCTGGCATCACGTAGGATACGTGTAGAGATGACTTGTCCGAATGGTTTCAGCATCGACTCCAGCTCAGCCTCATCCATGCCCAAAGGCAAGTTTGACAGGTAGAGGTTGGTAGGGTCCTGCTCCTGTTGCTATGGAAACAAGAAGTCAGGCTGTTGCCTAGCAATAGTCCATCCCATCCCAGGAACGCATTCCTTTGGACTCTCCCTTCCCTTCCTGAACGTGTGTCACCTGCCTCCGCTGAGATGCTGGCTGCCTCTCTTTCTCTAGGCACACTGAGGCCTTTCCGTCTCTAAAGAGAGCTCAGCGTATTATCTCGGTAGAGAGGCCGGCTTCTGCTCTGAGCAACCCCACTGGTGAGACTCGCTGTTGTGAAGCAGAAGGAAGAGAAGCTGAGGGAAGGATCCAGCATCCAAGGAGAGCAAGGGAGGCCGCAAACATGGCCTAGAGTACTGTAGGCTGCATCACATACACACCAATGTGTGTGCTAACTGCAGGAACTGCACACTGGGAAAGGCATACATGCCCTATGGGCGCTGGGGAGCACGGTTTGTTCTTTTCAAAGAGAGAGATTCAGACTGTCAAAGACATTCCAAGGGAATCCCATGGCCTTAATTCACCAAAATGTAGAGGATCATAGGTTCCCCATTGCTGATTACAGTGTAGTTTACTCTGAGTAAATCCAAATCTACTGGAGTATCAGAGTACAACGTCTGCCACCCATCAAATGTGAAGGTATTCTTGGGCTAAGAGAGCATTACTTATTTCTTATGTGGAACCACAATAATGCAGCTGTCTACTTCTTTGAGTAGTAGCGTATTTAACCTACAGAATAATGGTCCTCAACCTTTCTGGCTTTGTGAACCAGCAACAGCGGCAAGGCCGGGGGAGGAGAGGGATGGATTCCTGCACATGCCCACCACTTACACGGCCCAGTTCCCAAGGGGCCACAGCCGGTTTCCCAAGGGCCTCAAACTGGTATTGGATTGTTGGACCAGGGTTGAGGACCCTTGCTGGAGAAAGCTTTCTCTCTCTCTCTCTCTCTCTCCCTCCCTCCCCCCTCCCTCCCCCCCCCTCTCTCTCTGTTGTAGGAGAAAGAGGAACTGCAGCTTGTTTCAATATCAACATTGCCACCTGGTTCAAGCAACCAGCCCCAACCAAAATGGTGCCACCATAATTTCCAGAACTGTATCTCCCAATATACCTGGAAAGCATCAGCTTGGGGAAAGTGAAATTAAAAGGATCGGCAAGGTACAAGGTGTGTGTTTTTGAAAGGAATTAATACGGCATATAACTGAACAATTTATCTTCAATTGTTGATATCTCTAGTTAAAGACCTTTGTGGGGGTGGGGGAAGTATTCTTTTTCCAGAGAATTTTGGGAAAGGAATCATTGCCTGACGAAGGAAGACTGAGCAATACTGGAAATTATTCTGGGATTCCAAGCCAGGATATCGAACTTAATGAATAAATAATTCCATCTGCTATGGTAGAGTCTCGCATAACAGCTGAGATCTGATTCACATGTAATACTGAGGTACATTAGCTGTGGGTCTTGCTTGTTTCTGCTTAGGCCTTATCTGAACCATGGCTAGAGTAGAAAACCCAGGTTCCTGCAGAATTTACAACCACATCTACTCGGAGGGACTGTTCCCAGCACCACCACTCCAACCACATGGAGTGAGGCACCAGGGGTACCCTTGAAACACAGTAATGCCGGAGAATATACTCTGTAGAAAAGCATCTCCATCATGGCCAGGTTATGAAAAAGGTCTGGCTTCATGAGGGCTAAATCCCAAAGAGCATCGTGTTGGTGTAGGACCAGAAGTTTAACTGTGATGGGTTGAGTCAGGCACATTCCCCTTCTCATTCGTGGAAATGGGATGGCGGTGGGGGGGTGTTCTGCCATGCAGGGCTGCCCCTCAAGGCTTACCTTGGCCATCTGGGCTTGGACTCCACTGGCCTTGAGTGCAGTCACAGCTTTCTGAGCTGCTGTGGGGCTGTCAAAATCCACAAAGCCATAACCTGAAGGTTCAAAGGAGAGGAAAAGTAAGTCTCGTTGACCTCGGAGGTTCCGTTTCCAGCTTGTACGGGTAAGTCCTCGACTTACAACAGTCCGTTTTGGTGACCGTTTGAAGTTAACAACGTCACTGACAAAAAAGTGCCTTATGACCGTTTTTCGCACTTACGGCCGTTGCAGCCTCCCCCTGGTCACCTGAACAAAATAGCCAGTGACTCGTGCTTACGACGGTTGCAGTGTCCAGGGGTCATGTCACCACCTTTGGCAACCTTCTGACAAACCATGTCAATGGGGAAGCCAGCCTCACTTAACAACTGCAGCGGCTCACTTAACAACGGCAGCAAGAAAAAGTAGTAAAACGGGGCAAAGCTCACTCAACACACATTTCACTTGGCCACATATATTTTGGGCCCAGTTGCGGCCGTACGTGGAGGACGACCCGTATAAGGGACCCTTCCTCCAGCCCTCTGTACCTGGGTCTGGGTGAGTAGCAAAGCGACTCACCTTTGCAGTGGAGCGAAGCCCTCCTGCCTCACCCACCTATTTTACATTCTCCGCTGCACCACACCCTATCTGGCACACCACAAGCAGCAATCACTCGGAGGGGCAAGACTGATGTTATCTGGCGGGTTAGCAAACATCGGCACGGAAGCCAAGAGGAGGAGGAGGAGGAGGACCTATCCCAGCATCAAACCACACAGACTGCAGGACTCCCCTTCTCCTCTTCCTCCTTCTTCAGCTTCTACTCCATCTTTTCTTTCCTTCTTCTCTCCCCAGCAATGTCTGGCATTTCAGGAATGCAACTCCTCCTCCCCGACCCTGGCCCCACCAACCATCACCCTCATGCCAATAAACCACCCCCACCTTCAGACCCAACCGCTCCCCCCTCGGGAAGCTTGGCTCTTAGGTTCCCCTTCTGAACCTGTCCTGTCCCCCCACCCCCACCCAGCAGCCTTACCTGGGCTTCGACTTTGCCAGCCTCAAAACTGTGGAAGAGAGGCACCCTCTTTTGAAGGAGAGGTTAAAGCCTCAGGCCACTGCAAAGAGAGGTGTGTGTGTGTGCGTGTGCGTGTGCGTGTGTGATAAGGATGTGGCGAAACAAGGCAGCTCTGCATCCCCCCTCCCCTTTGAGAAACACCCCCCCACCCAAGCAAAACCCACACATTATCCAGACTCTGATTCAAGTCCTGTGGGTATCACATAATATACTCTATACGAGAAGAAAATCTGAGCTCACCTTTGCATTTATTGGTTGTTTTGTCCAGGATGGCCTTGGTGGAGACGATTTTGCCGTATCTGTAAGTACAGGAAAGCATCAAAATAAGGGATAGAATAAGCACAGCAAACAAAGGAAGTTTGCGGAATGGATATAACGGTCCTGACTATCTTCCCTGAAAATACTTCTCTTTCCTAAGACTCTTCCCTGCTGTCCTCCCAACCCACCCACCCACCCTCCAAGAAGACCGAAAAATAAAATGTTTTCTCCACTCAGGAATTGGAACTGCTTTTCAATTAATCTCAGGACAAACAGGATTCACTACTGGTGAGAAAAGAATGATCTGCGAGCTATATTTGGCCCTTGGTTTCCCACCCGTGTCCTACAGAAGAATGGTAAATTCTTCCCTGTAACAGCCAAGAAGCTGAAAGTGTCTAGAAAAGTTTCTTCAGATTTTTGTAGTCCCCTGCATATCTCTGTCACTTCCACATATTTGTAAACCGGGATGTACCATCTCTTTGAAGGAAGGTGAACGAAACAAACAAAACTGATAAGTGATATAACTGCATCTAGAACAGCCCTCATCTATTACTGTGCAACTTTTCATAGGAAAAGACCTATAGGTGCCTCTGTTTGGAGAGAACTTGATAACAAGCAGGTTGCTTCCTTCTTCTTTTTTTGGCAAAAAGATAAAAAAAAGCTTCAGTGTCTCCAAATGGATAGCCATGATATTAGGATGTATAGCTGGAAGCAGTGGTGGGATTCATTTTTTTTCCCTTTTACTACCGGTTCTGTGGACATGGCTTGGTGGGCATAGCAGGGGAAGGATACTATAAAATCCCCATTCCCTCCCCGCCCCACTAACCTGCTTTCCAGCTCCGTTCTCCTGTGCAGGGCAACAAAAGAAGACCCAGCCAATCGGGAGGCCGAGACTAGATGGGGGCGGGGCCAGTCAGAGGTGGTATTTTTGCTGGTTCTCCAAACTACTCAAAATTTCCGCTTCCGGTTCTCCAGAACTGGTCAGAACCTGCTGAATCCCACCTCTGGCTGAAAGGTATCGAGGAGGTATGAATGGGTGACCTATCTTGACTAGTGGTTGGTCAAGATCCCGATAGGTTCAGAGATATGGAGTAGCCATTTAGATAAATCAGTTGTCAAAGAGGTTTCATTAATTAATTGCAGGCTCTTCCAATTTCAAAGGCACCAGGGCACTCGTTCTGACAGCAAATGAATGGCAAAGTGAGGTTGGATTTACTTGAATCATTACAGGTAGTCCTCAAGGAGTGGTGCAGTGGCCTAGATGTGGAGCTCTCGCCTCACAATCAAGAGGCTGTGAGTTCGATCCTAGGTAGAAGCAGATTATTTATCTCTCTGGGCACGATGAGAATATATCTGCTGAACAAAACTCTGCATTGGCGACAGGAAAGGCATCCGGCCAGTAAACACTCCATTCAGTTGACAAGACTCCACCCCACAAGGGATTATGGGGTCATGAAAAGAAGATGATGATTACAGGTAGTCCTCAACTTAACAACCATTCATTTAGTGAATGAATGTGAGAGGGATCTTGGAGTCCTAGTGGACAACTAGCTAAATATGAGCCAGCAGTGTGCAGCAGCAGCCAAAAAAGCTAATGCAATCCTAAATTGCATTAACAGAGGGATACAATCGAGATCAAGGGAGGTACTAATACTGCTCTACGAAGCCTTAGTAAGACCACACCTAGAGTACTGCATCCAATTTTGGTCACCACATTACAAAAAAGATGTTGAAACTTTAGAAAGAGTACAGAGAAGAGCAAGCAGGATGATTAGGGGACTGGAGACTAAGACATATGAACGGTTACAGGAACTGGGCATGGCTAGTCTAGTAAAGAGAAGGACCAGGGGAGACATGATAGCGGTCTTCCAATATTTGAGGGGCTGCCACAGGGAGGAAGGGATCAAGCTATTTTCTAAAGCGCCTGTAAGCCAGACAAGGAATAATGGATGGAAACTGAACAAGGAGAGATTTAACCTGGAAATAAGGAGAAACTTTCTGATAGTGAGAACAATCAACCAATGGAACAGCTTGCCCTCAGAAGTTGCAGGAGCGCCATCACTTGAGACCTTCAAGAAGAGATTGGACTGCCATTTGTCAGAAATGGTGCAGGGTCTCCCGCTTGGGCAGGGGGTTGGACTAGATGACCTATAAGTCCCTTCCGACTCTGATTATCTGTTAGTGACTGTTTGATGTTACAACGACACTGAAAAAAGTCACTTACGACCAGTCCTCACGCTTACAACTGTCATAACATCCCTACAGTCACGTGATTATAAAGTTTGGGGACTTGGCACGTAATTACAAAAAGTTGCAGTGTCCTGGGGTTGCCTGATTGCCAGTTGCGTCCTTCCTAGCCAGTTTCCAACCAGCAAAGTCAATGGGGGAAGCCAAAGATTTGCTTAAGGCGCACAACTCATTTAACAACTGCAGTGATTTGCTTTTAACACCTGTGGCAAAAAAAAAAAAAAGTTGTAACCTCAGATGCGACTCACGTAATGACCACCTGGCTCAGAAATGAGATTCTGGTCCCAACTGGGCTTACAAATGGAAGACTTCCTGTAGAACAGGGCTAGGTGAGTTTGGTGAGATAAGCTATACTCCATGGCTTTTGAGGAGTGAAATCTACAGACAGCTCAGTAATACAACCAGGAAGAAGGCTACGCACCAGGCTGGAGCTGACCTTCTATTTCTGAGTGGGAATTTTGTGTTTTTTTAATATAAATCCTATTCCACCCATGACTGCCTCCAAAGGATGGGAAATCATGTTGCTCAAATTCAGTAATCAAGCAGTGAGTATTTGGTAGTATGATCAGACCTGGCTTTGGGACCCTAAAAAAAACACTTTTAGAAACTGCCCTAAAGATGCCTTTTTTTTTCCCAAGAGGCAACTGGACTTTCTGGTTTTTCTTTGAAGACATTTCACTTCTCATCCAAGAAGCTTCTTCAGCTCTGAAAAACGCATCTCTTTTTTCAAACATCTCTTGAAAAAAAAAAAAAGCATCTTTGGGACATCTGTGGCCTGGATGACTGAGAATCTCCATAGACTTTCAGAAACTGTGTTAGCCGAGGTTGCCCATCTCTGCACTAGAGAACATTCAAAGTTGGTGCATCCAACAATTTATACCGCGCACGGTAGAATGGCTTTTGTGATATTTGAGGTTCAGCTTTAAAAGGAAAAAAAAACCCAAAACCTGCACACTCCTAATTACAACTTACAAATAAAATGACAAACTCTGGAAGATCTGCAGTACCTCACCAGATCTGAAATTCTAGTCTTGCACAATAGAGTCCGAGAAGTATGGAATGCTCTGGGTGGTAGAACACTTCCATAGATACATACAAAAAAAAAAAAATACCTCAGTGATGTCCTTACATGAGCCCATATTAAAACCTTGAAAGGTGAGAGCTGGGAATATTAAAATAGCCAAGGCACAGCTGAGGTTCCCACCAGTCCTTGAACTAGCAGAAAACTGTACCAACATAACATAAGCTGCCTCTGGTGATGATCTCTACCCTGCCACAGATATGATGCTGACAAATGGTGATGTTCTTATTAATAAGCAAGCAGAACACACAAAAAAAAACAGGGATTAATACATTTTCTACTGACTTTTATTCTTTTCCCCTCCCCAGGCATCGCAAAGTCAGAAGTTTTCTGACAGGGAGAGCAGTCGACCAACGGAACAGAAGTTGCCTTCAGAAGTCATGGGAGCTTCATCCCTGGAAGCTTTCAAGAAGAGACTGGACTGCCCTCTGTCAGAAACGGCATAGGGTCTCCTGCTTGGGTGGGGGGTGGTGGACTAGATGACCTACAGGGTCCCTTCCAACTCTGTTAGTCTGTAATCTAAATGGCGGGAAAATGCTTTCCTTACTGTGGCCGAGGAATGAGGCAGAGGCAACTTCTGACAGAGGGCTGAATCAATCAGCCTCTGAGCTACCTCTGAAAATTTGCTTGGTTTTGCACACATGTTTTGTACAGGTGCCGTCAAAGGAAGCCCAAGTATCAACTGGCTCAAGTTCATTTCAAAGATGGGTTTAGAGCTGTTCTAGCAAAGCACTACAACACCGTTCAAAAGTGGCCTGGAGCAGGGGTCTCCAGCCTTGGTCACTTTAAGCCTGGAGGACTTCAAGTCCTTTTTCAGGTAGCTTTGCTGGCTGGGGAATTCTGGGACTTGAAGTCCTCCAGGCTTAAAGTGACCAAGGTTGGAGACCCCTGGTCTGGAGAAGAGTTCATGGGGAAAATTACCCTGGGAAGCAGCAGAAAGAGATTGAGCTGGCTGTCTCTCCTGCTTCACTATGAAGCCTAGCCCATCCCGACCATTTAGTCTGATACAGATCACCAAACATGGGATTGAACGCCGGGTACAGGATGAGAGCATTCCTGCTGCTTAAGTGGAAAGGTTTTTGAAGCGGACGCCCAGGGATCAGAGGAAAGCGAGTGTCCCTGGACAATCTTCCCCTTTAAGGGCAACCTCGCAGCAATATGAACTAAATAGCTGGTGAAAGGTACCAGACACCTCCCGTGTCAAAACCATGGGAGCCTCCCGAATGCTTGAAGAGGTAAGGTGAGGTTTTAACTCTGGAGCGGCTAAGGACAATTTTGAACGGCTCCTGGTTCGAATCCTGGAGGGAAAGGAAAGCAGCCCCACCAAGACCGGGCCAGAAAAGATGGTTACTAGGATAGGCTCCTGACTCAGTTTCCCATAGAACTGAAGAAAGAGGGAATGGTTATCCCAGCATCCTCTGAATAGTTCTGGGAATTTGCTGAGAATGGCTCTAATAGCCCTTTTCTTTTAAACCCCTTCGTCAGTTTCCTTATCGCTATCTTGCAAGGGAAGTCACAGTTATGCATGCAATTCCTTGGTCCAGCCTTTCTAAGGCAGCCTTAAATTCCTCCAGCCTATTACAAACCCCCCCTCCCACCTCCCGGAGTTAGTGCGAGCCCTGAATTAGTCTCCCTTTAAAAATAGCCAGCGGACTCTGGCTCTCTTCCCCTCCCCCCAGTGCTGAGCCCTACAGAGTCCATCCCAGCTGCCCTCTGACCCCACCCGCGATGCTTCCTGTTCACCCCGAGCAGGATTTCCTGCCCAGGGAAGGACAAGCCCAGGAAATCCGACCGGCGCCAAGAACAGCCAAGTCCTGGCGCCTCCCAGCCAGGACTCAGGGGAGTCCAGCTGCAGGGCTTCAGAGCGAGATGAATCATGCTGAATGCTGTGGTTGTGGTCAAACCTCCAAATGGGGGGGGGGGGGAGGGAGGAGGTCTACTGCTTTGCAGATGTGGGAATGAAGGCACAGGAGGAGGAGGAGGAGGAGGGCACCACACACCAATGATGTTGCAAGATAGGGGCAGAATCAGGAATGCCGCCCAGAATTCCCAGATCCCAGCCCCTGCCAGTAGTAGGCTCTGGGCTTGTTTCCTTCCCTTCCCTTTGGCCCTCCCCAAGGTCTCCGCCACTGGTTGCAGCTCTCATCCATGATCCCTTCTCTCACACATTCCTGGTATGAAGCAGGCGTGTTTGTCAAGTGTGGCTTTGGGGCCAGATCCAGCATTCCAGGCCGGGGTGAGCTGAGGTAAACGAGGAACAGCCCCCTGCCCACCCACCCCTCCTGGCCTCCCAGTTTCAAGTACTACAGCTTTGCTCAGTCTCCTTCAGGCGAGGCTCAGGGAGGGAAGAGCGGAGCAAACCCTGGCAGGCAATTAGGGAGCCACGGACTTCACAACGTCAGTGCGTTGCTGCAGGCAATGTGTACGTGACTGCACTCTACTTAGCCCCCTCCAACTCTCTCCCCCACCGCCCTCCACCCGAAATCATTTTCAGCCCTCTTTAGCTGGGAGTCAGACGCCTTCCGATCACTTTTTAGATAACTTTGGCAAATCGGGGGGATACCAAAGCAACACGGATTATTAGTCAAGGTTGGAGTATTGCACTGAGCTTCTGGAAGACGGGGGAGTTCAATACCCCAGAAAGCACTAAGGCCTTACTTTTGATATCCTTAAAACAAGGACACTGAATGACAGATCTCCATGAGGATCCAAGAAACAGGTGAGCCGTAGCAGGAGCAGCACTCCAAAACCTGATCAACGCTCTACAAATAATGACCTTCCTATGGAGGCTGCCCTTTTAGCTCAGGAGACCCAGAGCAGAAGGGCTGGATTCAGACCTGAGGCTGCCAGCTTCCCATCCTTACAAAGAAGGACATGGTCCTTTGCCAAAGTGATGGAAAGAGCTAGGATAACGCTTACATTTATTTATTTATTTATTTTACTTCTCACCCAGAATATGGGCCAGGAAGAAGAATGCCAAGCTGTGGTTTCAGGTTTAGCTCCAGTTTAAGTGGTGGAATAAGGAAAGGAAAGGAAAATAGGAGAAGAACCATGGTGAGGAGATAGGAGAAGAGGGCGAAGGAAGGAACATTCCTGATTCCCGCCTCTTTGCAGAAAGAGCCCCTAAATCCGTAGGCAAACTTTGAGGCAGACTTGACTTGCCCCAGTTTGCTCAAAAACTGTCTTGACTGATCCCCACAATAACTGGGTGATTATTGAATCTCTGAGAGTTCTAGATTTGTGGGAAGTTTAAACTTCTTGGCTTTTAGTGACATGACTAAATCTTTTTCTGCTTTCTCTTAAGTCCTTCTGGCCCATGAAACCCTCCAGACATCAACATGGATAAACTCATGGCTTCAACATAGGCACATGATGTGTAAGTGGCTTACTGCTTGTATTTCTTGGTAAATCATACATCTGGCTTGTTGCCACATCACTTGAGTCCAACTACCTTAGCAGGAAGAAGGAACGTATCCTCTCCAAGAGCCTGATCCAATAAGGCACAACCTTGGCATTAGCCCCCAGATATATACAAATATTTTTTGTATGTGCTATGTCTCTTACGACTGGCTTCAGGTTGCCCTCGTAACAAAAGACTTCACTCCTCCTTAGCTGCACTAGTGTTACAGAACTATTTTCTTTTTTCCAGCTCTATCCAAGGGCCGCCTCACCAGGATTGTTAGGACATGTCACCTGGAGGAAGTCAGGGATCGCAGTGGCTTGAAAGAGCAAATTGTACAGACAGGATAGGGATTAGCAATGGGGAGACACATTACATGCCAGTATAGTTTTTTGCTGAATTCAGGAAGGGTGGATAGCATTCAGTAGCGCTTAGCACTTAGACTTATATACCACTTCACAGTGCTTTTACAGCCCTCTCTAAGCGATTTACAGAGCCTATTGCCCCCAACAATCTGGGCCCTCATTTTACCCACCTCGCAAAGATGGAAGGCTGAGTCAACCTTGAGCCTGGTGAGATTTGACCTGGCAAATTGTAGTCAGTTGGTAGTCAGCAGAAGTCGCCTGCAGTACTGCACTCTAACCACTGCGCTACTACTGGAAAAGATCGCTAAGTTCAATCCCCACTGGCAACAAAATACCACAAACCAAGATGCAGATGTAAGCACACAACATTTGCCCCTACCCCACCATGGATCGTTTACTTGCAAACTCTAGGATTGACCATCAATGTTTCTTGGATGATGGTAACTTACGGTTGGCAGAGCTTGACAAGATCCTGATCGGTGGTACCAGGATGCAGGCCCCGGATATACAAGTTTGTTTTGCTCAGCTGGTCCCCGCCACCTCCGCCACCGCCTGGCCCACTGCTGCTGCTGCTGCTGCTATTGTTGTTGCAGCTGCCACTGGGGCTTGGGGGTGCCATCTGCTGGGCCACTGAGACATAAGGCTGCATGGCAAAAAGAGAGAGAACGCGTTAAAATGGCTGTTGAGGCAGGCAAGGCAATGACAGCGAGTAAGACAACGCTCCATTGTGGGCGACAGAGACACAAATGAGCAGAGTGTGGAATTCCCACTGCACTCGGTCTAATTTTTCTTTTCAGACAACTGAACAACTTTGACCTCCGATCACGATGAGCATAAAGGAACTGCAAGATATATATATGTAAAACTGTAAAAGTCTGACTCACAGACGAACACAATACAGAAGCCTGATGATGGCAGATGAGATTCTGCCGAAACATTGCTACAGCTTTAAAAGCACAACTATAATGACGTGGGAAAATACCCGAACAAAGCTGAATACCATACATACATACATACA